AAAGGGGGGGGAGGTGGGGAAAGCACGAAATTTGAATTTTCAGTGACTGTTCGCTAGCGAATAGGGTGCTTGTTTGCAACATCGCTCTCCCCAGCAGTTAGAGAGTGGATAGGGAGAGATTCTTCAGACTGCCTGGTACAGTATTGTAGGTACTGTATTTTTTTGGCTTTTTTATTTTTGAGGTTTTTTTAAAACAGAGAGACTGGGTGAGTACATACACTCTACAGTATTTACTGTACTGTGTTACAGGGCTTTTTGCAGATTGGTGGGGGGTAGGGCTAGGTGGGGTTATGTTTCTGTGCTCTGATGGGTCTTGCAGTGTGGATTTAAAATCTGAAAAGTAGACTGTAATATTAAATTAAAATTAAATATGAAAATTAGACTGTAATTTTAAAATGTAAAATGTATTTATTTATTTTTGCATTCTGTGCCTTTTAGGGTTTGTGTTTTAAAATGTGTGGGTTTAAAATGTGGTTTCAAAGTCTTTTTTTTATTTGGGGATCCATTTGCTGTAATAATGGTTGCTTGTTGTTGATGCAGGCAGGCTGTAAAATGCAGTTTAGACTCTCTTTTTGTGATGAGGAGTTCTGTGCTGGAATAATGCTTGCTGGATTCTGTGGCTTTTAGGGTTTGTGTATTGTGACCTGTCTTTTGTTTTAAAATGTGTGTGTTTAAAATGTGACTCCAAAGTCTTTTTGTTTTAAACTCAGAACATTTTTGTGGAGGGCTGTGGTGCTTGTTGATGCAGCCAGGCAAGCTTTAAAATGGAGTTTAAAATGGACTTTTAAAATGGAGTCTACTGTAGACTCAAGCCTCTCCGTTGATGCAGCCAGGCAGGCTTTAAAATTGACTTTTAAAATGGAGCCTACTGTAGACTCAAGCCACCCCCCATTGCCTTATCTTTCTCTCCCTTATGCTCTCTTTTTGGGATGAGGAGCTCTCTGCTGGAATAATGCTTGCTGGATTCTGTGGCTTTTAGGGTTTGTGTATTGTGACCTGTCTTTTGTTTTAAAATGTGTGTGTTTAAAATGTGACTCCAAAGTCTTTTTGTTTTAAACTCAGAACATTTTTGTGGAGGGCTGTGGTGCTTGTTGATGCAGCCAGGCAAGCTTTAAAATGGAGTTTAAAATGGACTTTTAAAATGGAGTCTACTGTAGACTCAAGCCTCTCCCCCATTGTCTTATCTTTCTCTCCCTCTATGCTCTCTTTTCGGGATGAGGAGCTTTCTGCTGGAATAATGCTTGCTGGATTCTGTGGCTTTTTAAAAAGAGTTCTGTTTAAAGGTGTTCTCCTGCCCTTTTTTAAAGCTAAAAGGTGCTTGGTTTGGTTTAAAAGGTGCTTGTTTTTAAAGGTGTTATGCTTAAAAGGCATTCTCCTGCCCTTTTTTAAAGCTACAAGGTGCTTGGTTTGGTTTAAAAGGTGCTTGTTTTTAAAGGTGTTCTGTTTAGAAGGTGTTCCCTTCCCCCTCCCTCCTTTCCTGCCATTTTTTTGACCTAAGTTCATATTACGTTTAAGAAGAAAAAATTTCCCTCTAGTGGTAGAGTACAGATTAACCAGCTTTGCATTAGTTCCTATAAGAACTACAGTCGTACCTCGCTTTACGATTGCTCCGCATTACGACGAAACTGCATTACGACAATCTTTTTGCGAGCGCAATTGCGACCGGAAAACGATGGTCTAAATGTTTTTTTCCCCGCTTTGCGATGATCGGTTCCCTGCTTCGGGAACCGATTCTTCGCAAAATGACGATTTTAAAACAGCTGGTCAGCCGTTTCAAAATGGCCACCGGGTAAACAAAATGGCTCCCTGCTGTTTTCTGGGATGGATTCCTCGCAAGACAGGCAGCGAAAACGGCTTCCCTATGGAGGATCTTCGCTGGATGGTGAGTTCTGACCCCACTGGAACGATTGAAGGGGTTTCAATGTGTTTCAATGGTTTTTTTCGCTTTACGATGTTTTCACTTAACGGCGATTTTCCTGGAACGGATTATTGCCGTTAAGTGAGGCACCACTGTAATGCTTCGACTTAAGAACGGTCTCTCTACATAAGACTGAAAAACAGCTGGAATGGATTAAATGGTTTTCAATGCATTCCTATGGGAAATGGTGATTCGACTTACGAAAACTTTGAGATGCAGACACGGTTCCAATAGGGATTAATTTAGTAAGTCGAGACACCACTGTATGGGAAATGGTGATTCGACTTATGAAAACTTAGAGATGCAGACACTGTTCCAATAGGGATTAATTTAGCAAGTCGAGACACCACTGTACTCGAGTATAAGCCTAGTTTTTCAGCACATTTTTTGGTTGAAAAAGCACCCTTGGCTTATACTTGAGCCAGTGTCAAAATTACATGTTCTCCCCTGCAGTGCGGGTGTTCTCTGGACTCCCCTGCTCATCTACGGGTGCCTGCAGCCTCTGTGGGTGGTCCGATGACCCAGGTTAAGGACACTGCATTTCCGTTTCCAGGACACTATATAAGCCTAGTTTTTCAGCACATTTTTTGGTTGAAAAAGCACCCTTGGCTTATACTTGAGCCAGTGTCAAAATTACATGTTCTCCCCTGCAGTGCGGGTGTTCTCTGGACTCCCCTGCTCATCTACGGGTGCCTGCAGCCTCTGTGGGTGGTCCGATGACCCAGGTTAAGGACACTGCATTTCCGTTTCCAGGACACTACATCCTCCTCCTTCTGCATATTCTATGTATCCACCTTCCTCCTCCATCTGCCATCTCCCTCTATCTTGTTACACAGCAGTAGAGCAGTAGATAAGTGCAGCATCCGGTATGAGTCCTCCCTCCGCAGGCAGTGAAGTGTGTTTTGCAGCTCAGAAGGGCAGTATCTTCAAAAACATTTAACCTACTGTTGTCTCAATTAATGTAATTTTATTGGTATCTATTTTTATTTTTTGAAATTTACCAGTAGCTGCTGCATTTTCCACCCTCAGCTTATACTCGAGTCAATAGGTTTTCCCAGTTTTTTGTGATAAAATTGGGTGCCTCAGCTTATTTCCGGGTTGGCTTATACTCAAGTATATATGGTAGGTTAAAACCAGCACTTTGCTGCTTTCACAACATATGCCCACAAAGACCACACTGAAGCATATTCTGAGTATCAGACTGAATGCTGCTTCAATAGTACTCTCTCATGCCACCCAATCTGATCCATATTCTCTTGGCAATAGAAAATACACATCATGCTTCAGGCAGTGATGAAGGAATAACATTTTTTCCAAAAGGAAATATGACATATGTGGCTGTTCATACCACCTAGTATGACAAGAAACAATCATATAATTGTCAGGGTTAAGGTTTATGAAGTTGGAAGGATGGAGAAGTTCAGATGCATAACAGGAAGGCACCCTGTGCTAATCCAATATATCCTTTGACTGGTTCACATTTACATTTGTTATCACTTGAGATTCACAATGGAATGTGTAAACTGTTCCTCAAACATTTGTTGGGAAACATTAAAGTTCTAGCAACAATGACTAAGCTAGTGTATGTATAAGTAAGCCAACAAGCTATGAATATACATGCATAGCGTTGCACACTCAGGACAAATCTGAATGATACCAGATGTCTTGTTGTTTTGCAATATACATCCAGGTAGCTTCTTGCAAGGAAATAGTACCTTACAACTGGAGTGTTTAGAAAGCCAGACACTGTCTACTCTGATTAGCAGCAGTTCACCAAGCACATAGGCAGAGACAAGTTTCTCATCAGCTGTTCCTTTTATACTTGCCAGTATTACAAAATGAATCCACAACCTTCTGCATGCAATACATGTGCTCTAATCCTGAGGTACTCTAATCCTTTCTTAGATTCCGCCCGTGCTTGCCCATGGATGATTTAACATCACAATGACTGATCAGTTCAAGAAAACTCTTCAACACAGCATTATCCAATTCTTCTTGTGAATACTGGCATGGTAACATAGTGTTTCCTGACACATACTGAGAGGGAATGATTGAAATATGAAGCACATGTTAGAGAAGAAAACCTTATTTGGCCAATCTT